TTAGATATGTGCTTTCTGGAGAAATTGTCTTAATTCTGAGGAATAAGGAATCCTAAATGTATACAAAGCATTTAATATTTAGTTTTCATCAGTACTTGGAGTTTTTTTAGGTCGTCCGTTTCTGACACTCTTTAGGTGGGCAGGACAGAACTGTCAGGTATAGGAGTTTGACTGTGCTATGGAGTATCGGTCCTTTTCATAGCTGCTGTGTCTACGGTCCCCACCTCCCAAATAGTTTATGTAGAAGTTGTTCATTAGTGTTAGTCAACAGGTTGGTATTTGATAAAATATATTCATAATTTGAGGTTACTGAGCTGTGGCGCTGACAACAGGTAACATTACAAAGAGATTTTCCACCACAGCCAGTCTGTGTGCTACTTCTGGTTTTGTTTTCTGTATAGGTTTACACCTTGCAGATAAGACTTCTTGGAGGTTGCTGACCTTAACGTATTCTCTCAAGAAGTAATAGTAGAAGTATTTGCTTAGGTGTGCTGTTTTTCTACCCCGTGATTCCCAGCCTTGCTAGCTAGGGCAGATGCATTCAAGAGCTAGCTTCTTACCTGCGCTGACTCCGTCTGCATTTTGGTGGTTGTGAGAAACATCCCTTCCTGGGTGTGCTGGCTTGGAGGGGTTTTTTTCTGTGGGTTTTTCCCTTAGTTTTTTTTCCATTCTTGTGTGCCCTTGGCAAATCAGCCACAATCTGCCTCAGTGCGTTGGATACAGATGGATAATACTGTTATTAAATTCCTTTCCTCATTCAGGTGGACTGAATGATAACAATATGACATGGTAAGTGTATTTCCGTTATTACTTTTTACTTATTTAACTTACCCATTTTTTTAATTGACTCCGCATTTGCAAAGAAAGCAAAGTTTTAAAATAGTATCCAGCATCTTCAAGACCCCAGCTGCTACCTGCTTCATACTTTTCATACTTTTCCTTTCCAAGACCCATCTTACTCTTTTTCATCCATGACTGGATGAAGTGTGCTGTTTTATTTTCTTTCACTTTGGAGATAAGTAGAAGAAATTGGGAAAAGATCCTTGACTGTCTTCATTATGGCGTTTTCAAAGTGCTTGTCTTCTCTGTTTCGGGGGGATTTTATCATAGTTTTTAAGATGGAATGTTTACAACTCATTGAGCATCATCTTGGGACTTAGAAACTAATAAGAAGTCTAACATAAAATAATTACCTTTTTAAAAAATGTTTGTTTTATTACCTACCCCTACTTCATTTCATGCATGGGGGAATACTACTGAACTCCATATTGCACATTGCAGTTTGTTCCTAAATAGTCATATCTTTCAAACAGCATAGCATGAAACAATTCGAGGAGTAAGTACCCAATTCAAATGGATAAAACAACGCATTCTTTAGCAGTTTCCCAGTTTTAGGGTAAGAGGATTTACCCTTGCATATCTAAACCAACTACACAACTGCTCTTTTTCGGAACCTCATAAAAGGATGAGTTCTCTTTTGTTTTGCAACAGTATTATCCTACCAAAGGAAAGTAGTTTATCAAATATGGGTAGTTGGAGTTGGGGTATTTTGCTTTTTTAAAATCTGGAATGCTTGAAATGAGGATAATGTCATGTAGTAAGCATTTCTAAAAAAAAGTAAAAAAAGAAAATTTAGTCTGTATTCATTTTTGGAAGTGTTAGGAATGTTGTGACAATAAGAGGACTTCATGCAACATAAATGGAATGTTAATTTCTCAGTGGATTATTGAACTCTTTGGATTCAGTAGAAGTCTTTAACATTATTTTAAAGGTGTATTTTTTCAGTATTTTATTTTAGACTAGAAGTAAAGAGTCCAGTTAGTTGAGCCCCAGTGTAGTGAATAAAAACAGAACTGACCACTCTGAGCTCATGTTGCTGTACTTTATTTGGTTAGATGTTACTAAGTAGTGCAAAGTATTTTTCTTTTTATTACAAATTTTACTAAAATATTCGAATATAGAAGAAAGAAAGGTGTAGGAATAAATTTTAAAACTATTGTTATAATTGAATATTTACCCATTAGTTTCTGGACTGTACTGCAAAAATGTTGAGACTTTGTTCCAAACTCTTCCAGTGAGTTATTGACTTTGTTTAGGAGGGGAGAAGCCATGTGTAGCTTTACTCAAGAGAAGATCTTGTTCTGTTTTTTTTCATTTTAACTGAAGTTAGATTTGAGATTAGCTGTGCAAACCTCCAGCTGCTAGGCTGTATGTGATGTTACCAGGATGTGATAACTTACTTTGGTAGACATGTGCAGTGTTTTTACTCATGGTTCCCAAAAAGGTAAAATTAAGGGTCAAAGATTTGTGGTGAGAAGAAAACCACTTCAAAGTTACAGTGAAATATGAGTGTGCAAGTACCCCTAAAGTTGGACAGTAGCAAGAGGCTTAGGTCATAATTATTTTCAGGCAAGTGCAAAAGAAAGACTTCTAATATATTGAGCTTTGACATACCCTTCATGTGGGAAAAGTGTAATGAAAGCACATGTAACTCTTTGTTATATTCTACCCAGCTGCTTTTTCATTATGTAATGAGTTCTTACATGTACTCTCAATGTATGAATGTGTTTAATAGCTTTGCCATTGGGGCTTACTTTTAACATTTGGAGCAAAGAACATGGTTTGAGGAGTGTTTGGGGCAGCAGGGAGTCAAGTTCTGGTTCTCACATAATTAAAAAATGAGCTGTGCTCTTGTAGGGCTTTTTGTTCAGCCAGCTCTCGTTGAGCTCATATGTTGCCTAGGAAAGACCAGTGAGCAGCCCTTGAAGATGCAGTTTGCATCCATAAATTAACTACGAACATCCAAGGACAGTTGCTAAATGCATTAATAATCGTGCAAACATGGAGTTTTGTTGTTTACAGAGCAGTGGATAGTACCCTGAAGAAGCAGCTAGCGAAAATGATGTGAAGCGAAGGAGCACATTAATGTAGACGGGCAGGGATCTCAATTTCACACAGGCATACCGTAGAAGTAAATGGTTTGATACTTCATTGTGTTCTGTCCTTGTGTATTGATTTTACCTCAGGAATACTCAGTGTAGTTTCCCTCATACGAATGATGAAAGCTCTGATTTTTGTTGCTTGAGGGTGAGTGGGAAAGGCATTGGGTCCAAAGGAAATAGATTAGACGTCTCCCCAGAAATCGGCCTAGAAGTAACCTCTCAAGCCGTAAGACTTTTGAGAGTCTAATAATCATTGCACTAAAGCATATCTATTGACACGTCTGTAGGTACACATTAAAATAAAGCTGAGATCTACAGAATGACGTAAAATTAGTGTGAACTTCAAGGAAGTACACTGGTTAATGCCCTTTGCTTATTTGGGGTGAACTCTCTACAACCAGAGGCATTAGATTAGGTAAAATATAAAATAGCTTCTGCTACTATAAAAACTTCTTCACTGATTTCAACATACTTTTCAAATATGATGATCACACAGGAAAAAAATTATTTTGTATTTCAGCCTGTAGCCACCATTTGAATTTTCTTATGATACAGTTTTCAAGTTCTTTAGGTACTAAAAACCTCACGTATTTCAGAAGAAACGGTATGAAGTGCAAGATTTTCTGTTCCTACAGATCAGTATTTTGTGTTAAATCTGATGTTTGCCTGTTCCAGAAGTGTTGTCACTTTGGGTGACCTTTCCAAATACTTGGTTTATACAGCACTGATGACGTGTTAACTTGAAAATATAAAAGAATACTTTTAAGAAGACAGGAACTGTGGCAAAATTTTTGTATGATTTCAACTTAAATATTGAGTTGCAAACCCAGACAGAATATTCAGGTACAGTTGTATAAGGGTAGATATTTTACTAAAATACCCATGTTCGTGAACCTAGTAAGATTTCACACATCCTAGATATCCACACCAACTGTTGCTAGACTGTAAACAGTTTGTGTAGAGATGCCCCAAATCAGAACTGTTGCCTTTGGCAAGGAGTCCATACTTCAGTTACCAAAACTGAACTGAAAGAGAGACTTTTCCATCTTCTACAGCTCCTCTTATTTTAATTTTTAAACACTGATGTAGTATTCTTGTGTCTTCTTGTATTTGTGTTTTATGTGAACACTGTGCAGGGATTTAGAGGTTCCGGAATGTCCTCGATCATGTCTTGAGAGCTCCATAACATTCTAAAATAATAATGTACAAGACTGATTATCCTCGTACTTGATCTCCACCAGAATTTATTGCTATAAATGTGTGACAGAAATGCCCTTGGTCATTCTTAAATTATATATATCCGTATATGAAAAAAAAATCCTTGAAGACATGTCTTGCAGTATTTTTCCATCACTGCCAATGCTTGACATATTATAATAACTTAGACCTTTACTACATATTCTTGAAATGTCCTAACTGAAGAGCTGAAGATCTTCATGCTCTGACCAGTTTTAGTTTAGTTGGAAGTGACTCTAAATAATTTTAAAACATGTATTAATAGAAATGTTTACGTGTCAGAGCGGTGTAGTCTGTTATCACTATGGTTATCAAAGTATAATGTTTGAATAACTGATGGATTGTAAGAAAATACTTCAGTAGTTAAGTGGGCTGCTCAGGAGCCATAGGAGACCACATAATGAAACTATATATTGGTAGAGTAAGTATTACCTATATATTTTCATAAGTGACCTACATAATCATTCACTCGTTTTCTGAAATGCTTTACAAGACTCTAGTTCCGTTTAAGAGAATTAACAGGTGAGTTAGTGTCCCTTACATGGTTTTAAATACGTTTCCATAGCTAATGAGGGGAAATTCTCATCAGAATCAGCACCGCTTACTATGACCAGTGGCAAAAAAACATTGGGTTTTTGTCACAGCTGATGAATTATGAATGAAAACTGCAAAGATACAAATTTATCTCTCTGAATTCTCAAGCACTTTGTTATTCCAGTTACTCCTGATTCGGAGGTGGGGGTAAGGTGATTGCAGCACTCTACTCAGGTGCTTCCGTTTATGCAGACAGCGTTGTTTCTGAATTTTGTCTTCTCTTTGCAGGCAGAACTCGTTGATGTACAGTATGGGACCGTGGAAGACTTGATCCGGATTCAAGCCATTACAAACGTGACCAAAAAAATTGCACTTTTAAAGCTAGGACAATCACCTTTGCTTTATAAGGTTAGTGCTTGTTGCACTTTAGCTGAATTATGTATGTGTTTTTTGCAGTTCCAAAATACCAAAACAAGGACTTTCTCATTCTGTCCCAATAAGGCAGGATTTACAGGCATTCAGATTCTTCCTTAATACTAGCCAGTTCAATCTGCGGCAGCTTTTACGTGTTATTTATTTTGCTGCATATCTTACAGTGCCCTGGTAGTATGCCATATTTTCTCTGGATGTACTGTAAGCCTTTTGGCAAATAAAGAAATCCCTAAAAGAAATAATAAAGCACAGGGGGAGGTGGGGCGACTGAGATCAGGAATAGTTGGATCTGCATCTGCTAAAAATGTACGTACAACACTGGACTGAAATCTTTTGTTTCTGCACAATGACATGCAGTACTTGGCCGGCTGGCTGCAGTCGAAGCGTGCTGTGAGTGGAGACAGAGCACGGCGTGTGCTCGCCTGACCTCAGGCTTCTGTGGGGCTTTCCAGTCCCACCGGGCTCTGTCTGAAGGTCAGCACTTTGGGCCTTGCTGTGGGGCTGCTGCCACCAGCACTCAGAGTGCGAGGTAGTTACCCATGGGAGGACTAGCATTACTGTTAATAGATTTGTTGAAGAAATGACATTATGACCTGATTTCCTCATGACACAATACAGCATTGCTCTGTGGAGAAGGTGCCTTTGCCACCTTGGTTCCATCTGTGGTCCTTACCACCTCAGAGGGAAGAAAGGACTGAGAGTTGGAAAAGAGCGTTAACTTCTGTGGTGTTTTCCGCTGCATAAAATGTGTGAGCAAACTACCCTGAGATGCGCAGGCAGGCATATATTCCCCCTGCCATCAGTGATCGGTCACTCCTGTAAAATCACCGGGATTTACTGGTCAGTGGGTGGGTTACCACCAGTTCAGAACCAGAACCATGTTTTTCTTCCACTCCCTCCTTCCTTCTTCTTTGGTTGCAGTTGTGCATGGGGAGGGGTGTACGTAGGTAAGTGCATGTCTGTTCGTTCTCCTCCAACTGCAGCGCTGGCAGAGAGTTCAGAGATGGAGCTCTCTAGTCCACTTGCCCATTAGACATAATAGACTCAACATACAAACCACACTTAAACTCTAAATGTCAAGTAACTGTCTTCTGTTGCAAATATTTTATAAACAAAAATGCTGGTTTGCCTTTCAGAAGATACACTAGCCCAATAAATATTTAAACAATTCATTCCCAATTCACAAAAGCAATTATAAAAAAACCAGTGACTCCAGAACTTATAATTAAGAGAATCAGGATCTGCTCTGTTGGCCATAGAAAGCACGATCGGGACCTCAACACTGGTTCAGAAAATAACCTCTTAATATTTTTTCTGTAGGAGAATAATATTTGTCTCAATAAAAATGCCATTTCAACTGGGAAGCTTTAGCTGTTTATTTAAATTGTTTAGATGCAATCTAACCATGCCTGTGAAAGGTCAGTTGTCATTGTTGGAGCTCGGCTGTGGTGCATCTTTTCCACCAAGAGATCTTATGCTGTGTTGCACCCCTGACTTGGCGAAAGCAATGAAATAGCAACAGGGGCTCACAAAGAGGAATTTGGTGAAGATGCAGTTTGCTGTAACAGCACTGTCTGAAGTGTCTGTGAGATGGAATTCTTACCGGTTTAGTTGGTGTTCCTGTAAGCACTTACTAGGTCTAAATGAGCCAGTAGTGCAGCCTGAAGGAGTAGGGCAGGACAGTTAGTGCTGAGGACAGGGCGCAGCTCAGGAACTTTTAGTCCGAGTTGGCTGTATTCTGGTCCCAAGAAGCAGATGCGAAGCGGTGGCTGAGGTGTGTTAGCCGCACTTCTGGTGCCCATCTGCTATTCCAGAAGGACTCGTTTTGCGCATTCAGAGACTGTTACAGAATATGGACCAAAGTGTGGTGTGATCAGGAGGTTGACTTTGAATGCACGCTCAGGATCTGAGCTAAAAATACAGCTCCTCAGACCTATTTTTTGTGTTCTGCTCACGTGGATAGGAGGTTTGCCCTTTATTTGTTGCTTCTTCTTTTTGAGGTTGTAAACTGTCTTTTTTTAGAATATAAATTGAGTATCTTTGGCTCTGAAATAATTGTAAGCTATTAGAAGTTTGAGGAAATACATGGGAAGATACCAGAAATAGATTCTTCTTTCATCTTTGAAATACTTAAAGTGAAAGAGACTTGCCTTAAACAGCAAGTCCTGCTGGTTTAAATGGGCCCAGTATCTCACCACTGAATCCACTTTTTGTATCCTTTTTCCCCCCTAATGTTTATGTTTCTCTACTTACCGAGTCTCACATTTCCGTTTCGGCAGATACTTCCCTCTGCCTGTATTTTCCTTATCTCTCTCTTCCACGTGCTTGGTTTTACATAACATTAAAACAGAATGGTAGTTCATACCAGAGCTGTTGCTATAGATATATCTCTTCTTACTTGTTTTCTTTCTAACTTCTGTATTTAACTTGTATTTTTTCACATGATAATGTTCTGTAATTTCTCATTATTATTACTTTATATTATATGAATATCTCAGTCTGGTTTTTTATAGATCCTGTGCTGAAGTTTCTTCTTCATAACAGAGTTTCTAATCGTGTCTCTGTTTCTCAGCTTTGCATTTTCCCTCACATGGCTATGCTTTTTGCCTCTCTCTCTCTTTAACTGCCATCATCAACTGCTGTTTTTCATGTGTTTTTCCGATTTTCCCCTTTTTTGTTTTTAATTTGCCTTTTCTTTTTTAAATCTCGACTGTTCTTTCTCTCCATCTAGAGTTCATTGGAAAAAGCCTGAAAGAAATGATAAACTGCTTCTGGCAGAAAACTCACCACGAAAACTGAACAGCATTTCCTTTGTCTTTCCATCACATTAACAGAAAGAAATATATGCTGGTAGAAAACAGCTTGATGTACAATGGGATAACTTACAGAATTAAGCCCAAGTGATACAAATTTGAAAATTTGGAAAAATAATTGTATTACTGACAAGATTTTTGCTTTAGAGGTTTCATTTGGTGTTTTGATGGAGATTGGGTAGGGTATAAAATTTGGGGAAGGATCAAGGTTGAACGTAATTTGGAGCTTCTACTTCTTATGTCTTCAGACACACTGAAAACAGCAGATCGGGTTCAGAGCCTGCAGTAACAAGGAATTGGAATATGCAGGGAATTTGGAGTATACAGAAAAGCCTGAAGTTAATGTGCTGTTAGAATGTGCAGTTGAAGCCTTAATATAATTCTGATTAAATTTGGTAAGGTTTGTAAATTTAAGCTGCTTTGTGAGAACAATTTGTAGAAATCTGACCTTAAGTTATTTTTGTAATTGAATTTGATTTTCAGATTTTATTGGGAGTGTTGTATTTCTGTTCCACTGACACAGAATGTAGTCTCTGATCAGGGCAAGAGGGGCAGCAGCTGTGGTGGTGGGCACATGTCCTAGAGTATCGGCAGAGCCACACAGACACAGCTCGATCCCTTAAGCTGGACCTTTTGAAATAAAGTGTAGGTTACTACAGCCACATGGTAAGTTATACATATAAAAAGAAAGAACGTGGACCCTACCTTTACAGCAGGGCAAAGTTTTACAAAGAGCGTTGACTTTTGGGGAAAATAACAGGTAGAGCTTGCATTACTGTGATAAAAAGAATAGATAAAAAAAGGATATGTATTATTGTATGTATAAATCAGAGTGGAGTGGAGGTTTAGAAAAGGACTTTAGCATTGATATGGCAATGTTAAGATCAGTAACGGAGCAAGACTCTGTAGTCTATTATAAAATCAATATTAAAAGTGGGAGAAAAGAATGGTAGCAGTGCTTTAAGGGCTGGAGCAAGTTACAGCATGGCAAAGGCAGAGTCGTTTTCACACACAGCTGAAAGGTGTAGGAATTTACTACTCCCAGCACCTGGAGTGACAATTTCCTATAGCAACAGAAACTAAGGCAGTGGCCCGAGGAGTGACGCGTACAGGGAGTACTCACATGACACAGTAGATGGGAATAGGCACGATGCTAGCAATCTCTGCCTCTCTTTAGCAAGAATTATTCACAGTGCTGTGAATAACAGACAGAAAGAAAAGTTGTAAACTACTATGGCTACTCCTAAAGGGATCTTGTGACTAGTTTGGGACACTTCTAAGAGCTGAATTGTTTCTGAATAATGAGGGAACCGGATTAAAGAAGAAGAAAAACTTTCTTAAGGAGAAAACTGAATCAAGACAAATATAGAGCAGAAGTGAAGCAGAACTTCTGGAATTAACTACTGTAAAAAAGGTAGAACACTTGCTTCCTCACACCTGCAGATTGAAAGTGACTGCCTCCTGGTGTTCTGTCTAGAAGGAAAATTTGTGTTTTGGTGGAACTTGGGTTGTTGGGGTCACTGGTGAACTTCAGTAGCCGGTTACATACAGGAGGTCAGAGGAGACTCACTGATGTCCTTGAATCGGGAGGATCTATAAACGTGGGGAAAGATGATGAAATTTGTTACTAGTGATTAAGCAAATCACTTCTGTGATGTAGAACACCCTCTTGAGAAAGAGCAACTTGAGTTGTCTGCTGGGTTGGTAGACAAGAACCAATAGTATAAAATGTGTGGTGACAGAAAGGTTTATGAAACCACCTCACTAGCACCCAGCTCCTCTGCCAGGAAACTCATCTGAGTATACATCGCCACTGTGAGCACATTAAAGAAGCCGGAGAAGGCTGCTTTTCCAGGGAGAACTGCACAGTAGTTTCAATAACCAGCCTCTGGAAATACCATCGCCAGATTTATTTTTTGAAAAATGTTGTGAGTCTTGATCATGATTTAATCTCTTGGGGTTGGGATTCAAGAAAAAGCCATAATTTCTGTCCTAAATTAACTTTTAATAGAGTAACAAAAGCCCCGAAGGCCAAACCACTTCATCTTTAAAATGTTCACATATTAACATTTTTTCCACATCCATTAAATGAAGATGTTGTTCTAATGTGTAAATATCTGTATTTATTTTAATAATTTACTGCCTTCATAAATATTCATAAAA